CATGAATGGGGCGGGTCACGTGGTCAAGCGCGTTCCCACGCCCCCTCCGCTGTGTTCCGGGATGGAGCCGGGAGCGGGAGCGGGATCGGGAGCGGGATCGGGGTCGGGATCGGGATCGGGATGGAGATCGGCACCGACAGCGGCAGCGGAGCGCTGGGCCGGCACCGCCTGCGTGGTGAGCGGCGCTTCCCGTGGCTTCGGGCGCAGCCTGGCGCGGCTCCTGGCCCCGCAGCTCGGGCCCGGCTCGGTGCTGCTGCTGCTGGCCCGGTCCGCGGAGCCGCTGGCCGGGCTGGCGGCCGAGCTGCGCTCCGGGAGCTGCTCCGAGCTGCGGGTGCAGTGCGTGCCCGCTGACCTGGGCTGCGAGGAGGGGCTGCGGAGGGCGGGCGCTGCCCTGCGGGAGCTGCTGCGGGACCCGTCCTTCGGCCGCCTGCTCCTGGTCAACAACGCCGGTAATGACACGGCTGTCCCCTCCTGTCCCCTCCCCGAGCCGCTGGCCTCCGCGCCCGGGGGCAGCCGGGTCACCCCAGCCCGGTTCCGCCTGATCCGGGGCTTGCTCCGGGCTTGGGGTGCCAGCAAATAACCCAAAAGAATAAAGGAGCTGCGGGAATCCCAGCCCAGCCCCTCCGTGCCCTGTCCGGGTGTTGGTTTATTAAAGGCGTTAATTGCCGGGGTGGGTTCCTGGCAGCACGAGGTGTTACTGTGGTGTGGAAACACTCGGTTCCCTTCCTGCACCTTCTTATCCCCCTGCTCCTCAAACCCAAACCTTCAGAAGCTTCTAGCCCCACCTTGCGGGTCCTTCCTCGCACCGTTAATGCCTCGGGTTCCCTTTTTACCCATTCTCGCTATAGATCACCCCTGGGTTCCCATGGGGAACGGGTGCTCCAGGATTTGGGGCTCCTGCAGGAGGGCCCGTGGTGGCCCTTGGGGACACGGGACCCCAGGCTGGCAGAGGGGTGGCACGGCAGTCCCTGGCACTGCTGGGTCAGTGTGACCCGAAATGGGCTGGGCTGGGCTCTTCAGGACCTGACGGGTGCTGCACCCCAAAGCTCTGAAGTGTTGGGTGTGGAATGTGGCAGCCAAAGGGATCCGTTGTGTGGTCGATCCCATCTGTAACAACTCCTTTTCCATCTTTCTGGAAGTGTCCATGGACAGGCTGGAGCACCTGGGCCAGTGGAAGGTGTCCCTGGTGGGGACTGGACGTTCTTTAAGATCCCATCCAACCCAAACCATCCAACATTTGTGATTCCCAGGCTCCTTGGGCGACATTTCCAAATCCTTCCTGGACCTCACCGACCTGGAGGAGATCAACACCTACTTCTCCTTCAACATCAGCTCGGCGCTGTGGCTGACCTCCACGGCCCTGCAGGCCTTTGGGGCTCGGCCAGGCTGCAGCAGGAGCGTGGTGAACATCTCCTCGCTGTGTGCCCTGGAGCCCTTCCCCAGCTGGGCTCTGTACTGTGCTGGGAAGGCCGCCCGGGACATGATGTTCCGCGTGCTGGCGCTGGAGGAGCCCGGGATCCGCGTGCTCAACTACGCCCCGGGTGAGGAGAGCGGCTCCCTGCCGGTTATCCAGCTTCTCCTGCCCTTGGGAACGGGGATTCCTGCAGCCCAGTGCTGCTCCTGGCAGAAGTGGGACCTCAGCTCTCCGTGCTGGATGCGGCAGCTGGGCTCAAGCGCCGTCTCCCAGGCAGCTTTTCCATTGGGATTACGGAATTCCAGACTGGGCTGGCGGGGGAGGGACTTTAAAAAACATTCCATCCCACCCCTGCCCTCGGCAAGGACAGTTCCCACCGTTCCAGGCTGCTCCAACCCGGCCTTGGGCACTGCCAGGGATCCAGGAGCAGCCAGAGGAAATCTGGGAATTGCAGCCCAGGCAGGAATTCCTTGCCAAGATCCCAGCCCAATCTCCCCTTTCCCAGTGGAAGCCATTCCCTGGCTCCTGTCCCTGCAGCCCTTGGCCCCAGTCCCTCTCCAGCTCTCCTGGAGCCCCTGCAGGGACTCTCAGCATTCCCTGCATTTTGCCCTTCTCCAGGGGAACATTCCCAGCTCTCCCAGCCTGGCTCCAGAGGGGATATTGAACCCTGGATTTTCCTTTCTCCTTAAGTGATTTTTTTGGTGATTTTTTTCCTTCCCCCAGGGCCTCTGGACACAGACATGCAGCTCCTGGCCCGGACCAGGACTGGAGACCCCGGGATGCGCCAGCACTTCCAGAAGCTGCAGGAGAAGGGGCAGCTCATCGACAGCTCCGTGTCAGCCCAGAAGCTGCTCCGGCTCCTGCAGGAGGATTCCTTTCCCTCCGGAGCACACGTGGATTTCTACGACATCTGACTTCCTCCACCTTTGCCTTCCTGCTTTGCTTCCAGCTGAGCCTTTTCCTGGTGCCTCCAGCAGGACCTTGTTCAAATCCTGGGATTTGGGAAGCTTTGAAGACGCCTCTGTGTGCCTTGTAAACACCCCTGGTGCCCTTCTGGGGCTGGGGGCAGCTCCTGCTGCTGAGCCTCGCTGGCAGGAGCTGGAATCCCTCAGCTCCTGGGGATCAGGAGGGATCAGGAGGGATCAGGAGAGATCCCTCAGCCACCCCTGGAGCAGAGGTGATTTCCCCATGGGACAGCCCTGGGAGGTTCAGGGTGCTCTTGGCTCGCAGTTCTCTGGGTTAAGCTGCAGCAAAGCCTCTCCCGGTGGTTTTTTCCACAAAGACCGGTAATCACCAGGAGAGGGAGCTGGCCTTGGAGGAGTTGGGAATTTTGGGAGCCTGGCTGGCATCAGCAGCTCACAGAAAGTTGGTCAGAGCAAAGACACAGCCCTGAGTTCCTGTCCTGCTCCTGTTGCAGGTTTTGTGTCCAAGCCTCTCTTTGGGGCTTCAGCCCCTTCCTTTTAATCATTTGTGGAGTTTTTTGTCATTTTTCCCGTCAGATTCCAGCAGGCACAGACACACAGAGACTTTTCTCCTGGAAAGCTGATGCAGAAAAGTTCTTTTGAAGTCCAGTGCACGCCGTGTGTGCCCTGGAAATGCCCAGTGCCCCTCTGTGCCCCCTCCACCCCAACCCTGCAGCTCAGATTTTGCACCCCTGGCTCTCCAAGCATTTAAAGTTCTAAAATCATTAAAATTGTGAAGCATGTCTGCTCTGGCTGTGTCTGTAGGGGTGGGTGAATTCCTGGCAGGGTGAGAGGAGGATCCTGGGTTAAGCACTGGCTTCACCCAGCGAGACACCAGAATTCCCTCCTGGAGTCCTGTCCTCCCCTCTCTGAGCCCTTTCATTAATTCTGTGTTCATTTAATCCTGTCCAGTTCCCAAATCCCTCCTCCCCAGCCGGCCTTGCTGCCTGGTTTCAGCTTTCATCCCTGCCTGGGAAACTCTCATTAGCAAAAACCCCTCTCTGCTGCTCCCAAGCCTGGCAATGGGAACGTTGTTCTGGGATTTGATTCCTGCTGGGGTTTATGTGGGCTGGGAAGCTTCCCTGGACTGGCTGCTGCTAAAATATCTCCCTGTCCTCACCTGTGGGTTTTTTTCCATCCCCTCTTGGGCAGGAATATTGTTTTGGTGCATCAAATAACCTCAGAGCTTCCCAAGATCCCATCTCTTCCTGCTCTCTGGGCATTCCCTGGCTCCAGTCCCTCTCCAGCTCTCCTGGAGCCCCTGCAGGGACTCTCAGCATTCCCTGCATTTTGCCCTTCTCCAGGGGAACATTCCCAGCTCTCCCAGCCTGGCTCCAGCCCTGGAGCAGCTCGGGGGCCTCCTCTGACCCTGCTGTGACAGCTCCATGTCCCTTGTGCTGGGCCCTGGATCATTTCCAGCCTCTTCTCTCTCCCAACAAGAAGAAGCAGGAGCAAAAATCCATCTGGGAGGAAACTCCACCTCTGCTCCAAGGGGAACCTGCACACCCCAGGCACATCCCAAGAGCAAATCCCATGGATGTGAGGATGGGCTGGGGCTCCCACTCTTGGATTTCCCTGCTCAATCAGCCTCGTGCTCACAGTTCTGTGGTGGGAGTTGTTCTCTAGTGAGGCCATCCCTCACTTTGTGCTCCCAGCTCTCCTGGATGTTCCATTTTTAGGGGTTCCATCCCCTCAGTGTCCCCATCCCACTGTGCAGCTCTTTGGGATCGCTCTGGGATCCCCAGGGATCTTCTGGCTTTGGGATTCCCACTCCAGGAGCAGAACTCTGCCCAGGGAGAAATGACAGAGACGCTTTTGGGGCATCCTCTGGGTGTCACCATTCCTGGGTAGCAATATCCCCTGGTACCAAAATCCCCAGGATACCAAAATCCCCTGGTACCAAAATCCCCTGGGTACCAAAATCCCCTGGGTACCAAAATCCTCTGGGTACCAAAATCCTCTGGGTACCAAAATCCTCTGGTACCAAAATCCTCTGGTACCAAAATCCCCTGGGTACCAAAATCCCCTGGATATCAAAATCCTCTGGGTACCAAAAGCCTCTGGTACCAACATTCCCTGGTACCAACATTCACCAGGTACCAAAATCCCCTGGTACCCACATTTCCCAGGTGCCAGCATCCCCGGGGTACAAAATTCAGCAGCTTCCAGCACTCCCAGGTGCCAGCATCCCCTGGATTTCACCATTCCTTGGCTACCAGCATCCTCCAGGTACCTGCATCACTTTGGGTACCAAAATCCCCAGGGTACCAGCATCTTTGGGTACCTGCATCCCTGGGTACCAGCATCTTTGGGTACCTGCATCCATGGGTACCAGCATCTTTGGGTACCTGCATCTCTGGGTACCAGCATCTTTGGGTACCTGCATCCCTGGGTACCAGCATCTTTGGGTACCAGCATCCATGGGTACCAGCATCATTGGGTACCTGCATCCCTGGGTGCCAGCATCATTGGGTACCTGCATCCCTGGGTACCAGCATCTTTGGGTACCTGCATCCCTGGGTGCCAGCATCTTAGGGTACCTGCATCCCTGGGTACCAGCGTCTTTGGGTACCTGCATCCCTGGGTGCCAGCATCTTTGGGTACCAAAATCCCCTGGGTGCCGACATCCCCTGGGTGCCAGCATCGCTCCACCTCTCAGGGTCCTCTGGGCACCCCCATTCCCTGCGTTCCCTTGCCGGGGAGCCAGCCCGTGCCCCCGGGTGCTGGAGAAGGCAAAACGTCACGAACGCTTTGATTTCCCTGTCGCGACATTTTCAGTCACCAGCTGAGGGCGTCCCGAGACCGGGGAACAGAGCCCGGCTGGAGCGGGGAGCTCGGGAATGCCTCTGGAAAAGCAACGGGATGTCGGGAGGGGATGGAGCCTCCCCCTGCCTCTGCAGCGATCCCTCGGCCACTCATTTTTAATTGAGGATCCGGTGCCTGGGCTTTGCCGGAAGCTCGAGCAGGGGAAATACAAAAAGGTGTTAAAAATAAAGGAGTCTGGAGCGCTCCAGAGCTCTCTTAATTCCCAGCTGTGAATTAGGAATTCCCAGCTCGCCTGGGCAGGTGTACCGGCATGGATTGGTGTTTCCCCACGGAGAGCAGAGGGATTTGGACAGGGAACCCTGCAGGGACCCAGCCCAAGCTGAGCCTCCCTCTCCTCCATCCCGGCCAGAGCCGGGGATTTCTCTCTCCCTGCCGGCAATCCAGCCGAGCTTCCAAGCCCAAAAATTCCTCCAGCCATGGGGTGTCCCTCTGGATACTTCTGATTCCCCCCAAATTCCACGACTTCCCACCTTGCCTCTTGCAGCAAGAACCCGGCCCGGGCATTTTATCTCTTTTCCAGCTTTCCCCCCTTTGCCTTCCCCCTGAGCAGGGAGACAAAACCGGGGCAGGAGCCTTTCAGGTGCCTCCTCGGGTGAAATCCCTAAAAAATGCCACAGAAAGCCCTGCCATGGCCTCGGGAGCAGTTTGGGGCACGAGGGGAGGGGTCTGGGCAATGCTTTGGGGTGACACCGCCCGCCCCAGCGGCCCCAGGTGCCCGGGGGAGCCCCCTGAGCCCCCTCCCCATGCTGGGGACACACTGTGCCCTTTGTGCCGAGCCAGGACGGGCCCAGCCGGGTCACGCAGAGCCAAAGCCCAGCCTGGGTTTTGTTTCCCTGGTTGGGAGCGGGGCTGAGCCCCTAAATCCCCCCCAAAGCCGCCCAAATGAAAGCCACCTCACCCTCTGACCTCCCAAATTCGGGCTGCTGCCCCCGGGCTGGCCCTGGCTCAGCAGGGAGCTCCTCTGGACCCCCAAAGGTTCCCCAGCTCGGGGGGAAGGTGAGCTCGATGTCCCGGGGCCAGAAGGGCTGAGCTGGGCTGTTTGGGGTGAGTACCAGAGCTCTGGGCCAGCAAACAGCCCAGCCTGTGCCCAGCCTGTCCCCCACCCTGCACAGTCCCCAGGGAAGGGCTCCTGCTGCCACAAGCCTGGGGGTTTTTGGGAGCTGTGCTGGGAAGTGCAGGAGCGAGCCTGAGAGTGTCAGAACAACAAAACCCTCTCTGCTGAGCTGGCAGGGTCCTCACAGCCTCCTCCTGAGAGCTGAACCCGCTGCACGTCCCCTCCTGTCCCCTTGGCTGTCCTCACCCTCGGCACGGTGACCCATCCTCAGCCACGTCCCCTCCTCGCTGTCCCCTGGCTCTGGTGGCCTGAGCAGTGCAGGGAATTCTGCCCCTCAGGTGAGGCCCCACCTGCAGAGCTGCCCCAGCCCCGGGGCCAAGAGCAGGAGGACGTGGAGCTGCTGGAGAGAGTCCAGAGGAGGCCCCGGAGCTGCTCCGGGGCTGGACCCCCTCTGCTCTGGAGCCAGGCTGGGAGAGCTGGGAATGTTCCCCTGGAGAAGGGCAAAAGGCAGGGAATGCTGAGAGTCCCTGCAGGGGCTCCAGGAGAGCTGGAGAGGGACTGGGGCCAAGGGCTGCAGGGACAGGAGCCAGGGAATGGCTTCCACTGGGAAAGGGGAGATTGGGCTGGGATCTTGGCAAGGAATTCCTGCCTGGGCTGCAATTCCCAGATTTGCTGGGGCTGCCCCTGGATCCCTGGGAATGCCCAAGGCTGGGTTGGACACTGGGATTGGATCCAGCTGGGATGGTGGGAGCTGTCCCTGCCCATGGAACTGGATGATCCTTGAGGTCCCCTCATCCCAAACCCTTTGATGAGTCAGGTCCCCATTAATGAGTAACGAGGGCCCTGGGCCAGAGAGGAGCTCACAGATTAAGCCAGGCCAGAGCAGGGAGCAGAGCCCTGTGGTGAAGTGTCCTGTCCCAGAGAGCTTCCATGCCTTAATGAGTAATTAGTTAATTCACTATGGAGGCTAATAGGGAGGCACTGCAGAAATGATCTGTGGTTAATTAAACCACCGAGCTGGTGCAGGCAAAGAAGCTGAGCTGGGCCTGGGGCTGGAGTTGAGCTGGGCCTAGGGCTGGAGCTGAACTGGGACTAGGACTGGATCCAAACTGGGATTAGGGCTGGAGTTGAGCTAGGCCTAGGGCTGGATGCAAACTGGGATTAGGGCTGGAGTTGAGCTGGGCCTAGGGCTGGATCCTGACTTTGGCATCACTCCTGGAGCTGGTCTGGACCTACCAAACCCACCTGGGGTTGGAGTGGGCTCTGCAGACCAACAGCCACCCCCATCCCAGCAGGAAAAGCTGCAGAAATTGGTTTTCCCTTGTTTTTTCCATACACCACCCCAAAGCTGGACTCTGTCTCGCTCAGCCGGGTGCCTTTCGAGCCTCCTTCCCTGAGTCCTGGAATCCTGGAATGGTTTGGGTTGGAATGGACCTCAGAGCTCAGCTGGTGCCAGCTGCCCTGGGCAGCACCTGCCACTGTCCCACGTTGCTCCAGGCCTTCTCCAGCCTGGCCTTGGACAGGAACCCACAACTTCCCCGAGCAACCCAGGCCAGATCTCACCCCTCACAGGAAGAATTTCTTCCTAAGACTGACCCAAATTTCCCCTGTTTCGCTTTGTTCCCATCACTCCTTGAAGAAATCTCCCGCCAGGCTGAGGCCAGGCTGTGCCTGAGCTGCTCCGGTGCCTCCCCCAGGATTTGGGGACGTTGTGCTGTTCCCAAACCTCCTCCTCGCTGTCTCCTTCCTCTGTCAAAGCCACCAGGCCAGCGGGGCACGTCCATCCTCCTCCTGTGCTGCCTCCTCATCCTCAAAACCTTCCCGTGCTGCCAGCCAGCCCTTCCCAAGTG